GGATGTGTGTATGTGTGTGTGGGAGAGAGACTGACTCAAAACTATGAAAAAAGGAACAGGCAGGGCTTGAATTAAGGTGGGAAAAAAGGGTGGCTTCATCAAGCTTGTTTAAATATATGGAGAAAAATCAAGGGGGTAATGTCGGCTTATATAAGTTTTTTGGGGGGTAAAAGGTAAAAAAGTTCCCTGACCCCTTCTCCAGGCACAATGTATCCTGGAGAAAATTTCTTCATACTCCAAAAACACACACACACAAAACCCCCAAATCGAGGCATTGTTTTCAATGGATTTTGCTTCGTAAACCGAAAATTACATTAACCCAGGCATTTGTAAACCGAGGTACCACTGTACCCAAAGCTGCAGTTCTCTGAGTGGTAATCTGAGAATTCATATTATTGGGTTACAAACCCAATAATAAGAGACCATGAAGAAGAACAGCTGAATATGTATGAAATTTCCAAGAGGACAACCACAGCTATTCATGTGAAAATTTCAACAATGGAAGGTACTACACTTGTCCATATAGAGTAGAAATCTATCAACCTCACAGAGAAGCTCAATGCACGTGAAGATGTGGTCTAGACTCTATACAAAAAACCTATGTCAAATTAAGCTTGTCAGTCCTTTTGAGGACACAAGTCTTCTTGGTGAAATTATAAATTTACTGTACAGTATTTTAAAATCAACCATCAGGACATTTAGAATCTAGATGGGTGCGGAATAAGCCAAATAAATAAATATGGAATAAATGACATTTCCCTCTTCCCCCAACTCCCTCCCCCCCCAGCGTCACAATGAAATGTGTTGTAGCAGACATTTTAATAGACTGTTTTATGGCAACCAATATCAGAGGGCATAACATTAGCTAATGTCATCAATGGGTTAGAAGCACACATGGTGAAGAGGACAAAATATCTCCTTTCCCTCCACACATAAGATCTTAGTATAGCACAGCAAACTTCTCAGTTATCTCCATTTGCCACACGACTGCCCATATGAGAGAAGGGAACTCTGCACTCAGGGATGTCACACAGATATCCAATAACTTCATGAGGAATCCATTGCTTCTAGATTTAGAAAGGGAGGACTCAAAGCAAGGGAAAAGGACAACCTACAACCTTGCTTTGTGTATGCAGCATCAAAAGCAGTTCACAGCTTTGAAAAGGTACTTTTTTTTGCATTGAGACTCCCAGGCCTTCCCAGCCAGCATGACCTCCAGCAGTCCAGAAAGGGCAATGTTTTTAAGCTTTGAAGCTGCCTCACTATAACATATCACAAAGACAAGCACAGCACAACTGGAAAAAAAGGGAAGCAGTCACACCTGTCCCTAAATCTGAACATCAACTGGTGTGTGTGTACAATCAAATGAGAAGATGTGAGAAATCTCAATATAAAAACTAAATTAAGAATGTTCCTGATGTTGCTGTGCTCACTGCATACAGCATCCAAACTGATAACAGCCTTAGCAATTTTTAAAAAAGTTGGTTCTCATTCTTATGTTCCAAAAAATTGTCTAAAATTATTATGGTAAAAATGAACTGAAATAAATATGCTCAAGTTACACTGCTAAAGTTAATGTGGGTAACATTCTGGAGTCAGAGCAACCCCACCCCGGTCAGCTGTTCAGCAATGGAACAGATGGATCTGTACTGCCAAGAACAAGGTCTGGCTGGAGTAAAGATACAGTTTGAAGAGTGACAAAGGGAGAGAAAGGGAGGAGAAATAAATGCCTCTATTTTTACCACTTTTAATTTTTTATTATCTGTTTTATGAGCCTTACTGTAAAGGTAAAAGAGAATGCCTTTCTTAAATACTTAGAGGAACACTATACAGTACATGTTTCCTACACCTCTGAAAATTAAGCATCTGCACACACATTTACAAGCACAATTAAACAAGTCATACTGGAACTATGTTACTTTTGTGCCTCAGCAGAAATGATGGTGGTACACTAGAAATGCTGACACCAACCCAGTTTGGCAGTAGCATGAGAGTACTGTACAGTATGTAATGGGCAAAGGTGATCCCACGCTAGGATGCTTCCCACCTCTTATTCATCACATGAAATCACAAGTCCTTAACTGTAACTCTTACTCCCTCTCATCTGAAATATCAGTAAGTTCACATGTAATCATCTCTGTCTCCAACAGTGGCTAGCTGGGCATCTCTAAGAAATGCCTAAATAGGTCAACATGGAGACAACTATGGTTGGAAGGGTATGATTACACTCGCAGGTTTTATCTTAAGCTACTTGTTAACACAAATTCCTAGGACAGAATTTGAAATAACGACAAAAGTCCACCTAAGAAAGTGAGCAGAATTGCATCAATAACATCCTTGTTTCATTTGCAAAACCAGAGTTGATTGCTTTGAATCGGAACTGTAAACATCCCGATTAGTGCAATGTAACTGCCCACAGCAGACATGTTCTAGATGGGTGGTATATAAGTTTAATAAAATAAAAAAATAAAACGTTATAATCACAGACTGCAGAAGAGCCAAAACACAAGCAAAATGTGCTATTTGGCAGGCTGACCATTGTGCACTGGCTGTGCAGTTATACAGAATGGCAGAGACACTCAAGCTACCTCTTGCCAGGATTGTGCAAAAGAAGGCAATGTTAAACCACTTCAGAATGTTTTATGATTTGGAAACCCTAGAATGAGATAATACAAAACAATATATAGTGCAGGAAGAGAAGATTTCCTGACCAGAAAGCCATAATCAACTATTGTAGAAGAGCACTGGGTGAGTATCAACAACGATCAACTAACTAAAGCAGCGGTCCCTAACCTTTTTGGGGCCATGGACCGGCTGGGGAAAGCGAGCTCCACACGTGGGGGAGCAGAGATCTGTATCCATGGCCCAGTTCCGGCAAGCCCACGGACTGGTACCAGGCTGCGTGGGTTGACGACCCCTGAACTAAAGGATACCTACTTGCTGATGTGCACAAATGCAAAGTCAAAATCTACTTGATGCACATGCTTGGAACACAAAATGTAATCAAAGTAAGTTTGACATCAGGGGAAAAAGAAGACATGGAACATGTACATATTGTCAATCTTGAGATGAATCAAGTAAAGTGAACTGGAAAGGACATTTTCAGTCAGATAATTACAAAATGTTTTATTCTGGAAATGACAAACTCAGAAGAAACAGTATGGTCCTTAAAGCAAGTCAAGACACAGCACAAGCAGTTAGTAGATATAATGAAAAGTATGGCCAAATGATTACGGAAAGCTATCAACATAACTATCATTCAGGTCACCGCTAACAATGAAGAAGCTAAAATTGTTCACAGTTATCTGCATCTTGTTAAAGTTTATGTATATCTTGATTTCATCATCACTAATTAAAATGGAGATTGTAGCCAACAAATCAGAAGAAAACTGAGTCTTTAAAGGGCAGCTATGAAGAACTAGAAAAGATAATTAAATGTAAGGTTGCATCACTGGAGACCGAAGTGTGAAAGCTGGACATTGAAAAAAGATGAAAGAAAAAAACTGATTCATTCAAAATGCGTTGGCAGAGAGTTTTACACATGCCATGGCCTGCATGAAAGGCAAATGAGTATGTTGTAGATAAAATAAAGCCTGAATTTTTACTAAAAGCTAAAATGACTAAACTCAGGGTACTATCCTTTAGACATATGAGTAGAGGACAGGACAAGAAAAAACAATAATGCTGAGAAAAATGAAAGGCGCACATATCTTATACATCATCATTTGATCTAAAATCACACTTCTGGAGGGGGCCATTGAGACTGAATCTGTGTTGACCCTTGGGATGGCTACAGAGAATCACAGACATGGAGCTAGCCTGTTACCCTTGCTTTTAAAGGAGCATGGCATTCAAGAATACAGCTACACTGAGGTTGTAATAGAGAAGACAGTATTACAATCATACCTCCCCTTGAGATTTTCAAGTTCCCTGTGATGAAGCATACTTCTCATGTGTTCATCCATTTCCTATAAACAGAAAAAAATGGTAAGTCATAAAAAGCTAGAAACCAGAACAAAATGCATAAATGAATGATTTTCTATATGCCAGTTTACTCCTTCAGGGACCCTATGCTATATATCAGTGGTTCTTAACCTTTGTTACTCGGATGCTTTTGAACTGCAACTCCCAGAAACCCTAGTCAGGACAGCTGGTGGTGAAGGCTTCTGGGAGTTGCAGTCCAAAACTCCTGAGTAACCCAAGGTTAAGAACCAGTGCTATATATTCAGTGAAACACTTTGTTGTAGGTGACATCTCTTTTTGAATCTCTACATTCCAGGAACAAGTGATGCTAATTCAAAAGAATCATCTCCTCCCATTTGAATCTTTCTGCCCATGCACAGAGGCTCATGTACCTGTCTTTCACTGTAGATAGTGGCACCATGTGAAGCAGAGCCAGCAGGGACACAAAAAGAACCACCTGTAAGCAGGACCCAAGATGTGGAATTTTTTGCCACAAGAAAGTGATTTTCTCTCTAATCCCTTGTGTTTTCATTCGCAAACATTTCTGTTTCAGCAAGCCTTTGGCTATTTCAGTTTCACTTTCTGCTTTTCCTGCTGAATGGTTACAGTGATGGTATATTATTATTGTGAGCTTAGTACTCTATGTATTGATTTGTATCTGCTATAAAGCACCTTGAGTATTCTGGAAGAGTGGGATATAAATCCATTGGGGTTAAAAACCATGTTAGAAGACAAAATATTCTAGAGATAATCTTCAAACATCAACTTACCTTTTTTGAGTTGTATATGGTGTGGCATAATATACATTTTCGTTCTCGGACCATAGTGAATGTTTCCAAAAGATCTTATCCTAGCCCTAAAAGTAAGAGGGGAAAATATTCGTTAACCCTTAATTATTTTTCTAATTCTTCTACATTCTAAGCATCATTTTATTTAGATTCTTCCTTTTGTACCTCTAGTCTAGTTTTACCATATTCACTGGACCAGCTGAACTTGTTTGCACCTCTGAGGTTTCCAAGCATCAGTTACTACCATCCAAAACTTGGTTAGAAGAAGAATTTTAAAAAATAAAAACTGAAATATCATGACTAATTCCACTGGGGTAGAAGTGATTATATAACAAATATGCAAATACAAATAACCCAACTTCAGTGTATTCTTATCCTGGATGGTTTACTATGTTGAGATAATAACAATCTTACATGCTTTGTAACACTGGGTATGAGTGGGAATAAGTGGTTGTTGTGGGTTTTTCAGGCTCTTTGGCCGTGTTCTGAAGGTTGTTCTTCCTAACGTTTCGCCAGTCTCTGTGGCCGG